GATATCTCTACCTATCTCATTTCGCAGGTGGCGAGCTGGCTCCCATGTGGAATCTTCATAACCCTTCCATAGGACCAGGTACTGTAACCTGCCCTTACGGGTCCTCCTGTGATCCAATATCTTGTCCACGACGTAGCGCACATTTCCACGAAGATCCGGGATGCCAGGCGGTCTGGGTTCGTCAAGATCTTGGTCGTTCCGTTTTTCGTCTTCCCGTTCATTGCTGTTCGGCTGTCCGGAATCGCTCTCCTTTGCATCCCGCATTTCGACATCACACTTCTGGCCATACTGATCTTCAGAGTCCCCACGTGGCTGGTTTTCGGCTTTGGAGTCCGTCTTTTGGGTGTACTGATTTTGGTCCCCCCGCTCTTGCTCGTTCCACTCTCGGTCCTCCTGCTCTTGGGCGTCCGTATTTTCGACATCCTGCTCTGTGGTGCCCCACACTTCGTTATCCCTCTCTTCAACATCCGGCTGCACGTCATTCCGTTTTCCCATGCATGACATCTTCATACAGTATGTCGTCGTTCTTCGTAGTCAAAGTACGAAAAAAGGAACAGAACAAAAGTCCACTTAGCAATCTTCTCTACTGGCACATCATGTTCTTACAATGCGAAAAGTTCAACTAATAAAGGGCCTAGATTCATCGTGGTGTAAGATGGATAGCACCAAGTGTAGCGCGGGAACGTTGTCACCCTGGAGCATACAGGCATTTGTGAGGAGGCGCACCTCTCCAGCAAGTACATGTGATGCGCAGCGGTGGTGGGGGGGGGGGGGGGCGGTCATACATCTAGTGCTATTGTCCAATATGAATTTAGAAGTTGCGACTTCGGCGGTATTAGTCATGAAGTTGGTTGGTCAAACGATGAACACACGCATTTTGCTGAACTTGACGCGTCTGTTCCTCGTCAATACTGGCCAAGTCGCAACTTCTAAGTTCGCGTAGTTGTCTCTCACGCGGGCGTGCGACTAGGTGTTAGAGGTGACAGCGTTGTGAATAGCTACTGGCTCTCAACGTCTGTTTAGCATCAGCGACGGTGACTCAAGCTGTTATCTGGAACTTCAAGAGGTGTTTACCGCGCTGGAAACAAAGGTTCTCCGTAAGTTTGTATCCCTAGTGATGGTTTGGCCTGGAGAGCAATATATGGGCCACAACCAGCTAAAACATGTCTTAGGGTGAAAAATTTCAAATTTTGTTTTCCTCCAGAAAACAGTTCTTGGGACCTTACTTGACCTCTTGAAGGTGATACAGGGCAGAAAAGTAGTCTACAAGTGCCCCAAACACCGCTTTCAAAATATGAACTTTGAAATAGGAAATGACAGTTTTCGCACAGTCTGACACAAAGAGACAAACTAGTACTTAGTGGCTTTTGTGGCGGAGCACAATACAACGGAACTAAAGATGTTGACACCGACTTGAGCATGTCAACGACATCAGTTCAAAGGCATGGCCCAAGTTCTTCCTGGAAAGCAACACCATGCGCTGGGCGGCGTTGCACTTGCATACTCTTTCGATTCTGGCAGTGACGATCGTCGCCTGCGTTTCCGAGACTGCGTCAGACGCCTCATGAGAGCTGAACGCAAATAACGTCGTAAGGCAGCCGGTTCGCCGCCTAAATGATTATGTACTAGCCCACAACTTGTGCCTCTTCGCTACTGGAGACGACGGGGTCGATTCAGCTTCGCTGTCGACATAAAAATCAATGAGATCCCAACAAATTGTCAGCGTCGCTCTGCAGACCCGCCGCCACGGACTTGCAGACACCTGAACAAACCTGGGCCATGCACAGCGATCGTCTGGCCGTGCGAGCTGCTCTAGTATCACTAGATGCGGACATTGTCAGTCTTTGCTCGCCAGCTACTTGAAGTAGAACGCCAAACAAGTGTTTGAACAAAATTTGAGAAGATGATCGCCACATCATGAATCATTTGAATGAAGTGCAGAGTGAACGCGCTCCAAAAAAACATTTTTTTCATTTCGTCATTTCCCAACTTTTTTTACGAAACCCCAAAGACATGTTTTAGCTGATCGCGGCCCATATAGCAAGTGGTGATTTTCAGGCACGATTTCCTCAGCCTACTCCAGCTAACCTGATGAGAGGTGAATTCCCCGAAACAAAGTGCATTGAGGAGGGAGTAGCTTTCTTGGAGGTTTGTCGAGTAGAAGGTACGACGTGCTTCTCGTGTACTCCGAAAGGCAGTCGTGAGTCTGTTTAAAAGTGCCTTAATGAAAAGTGACAATTACTAATGTCCGAGCATATTAGGTGTAAAGCCAAAAAAAGAACCCCCTCCCACACACACACGAGCAGATGGTCACACATGCACGTACACAGGCGAACGTGCATATAATTTTACATGGCGACTTGTGGGAGATGAAGCAGAATGGAACGACACACAATAATGCAAGTGCATAGAGAGTCGGGTGACAGGACGCAGAAAGTACAAGGAGCACGTACGTACACACTGACAACAAAAGGAAACAATTGAGGGGTGTGATAGATATGTAAAGAAGGCACGCAACATTGTTGGAGATTCATATAATTATGAGTACAATCATGTACATGGCATATCAATCACGTCTGTGTCTAGGTCAGTGATTAATTGACATGTAAAAATGATTGTTGCACAGAACGGGTACAAGTGTGAACGTACAAATTTGACCTCATGAGTGACCCAAGCTGCCCTTGTACCACACACACACACACACACACACACCACACACACACACACACACACACCACACACACACCACACACACACCACACACACACCACACACACACCACACACACACCACACACACACCACACACACACCACACACACACCACACACACACCACACACACACCACACACACACCACACACACACACACACACACACACACACACACACACACACACACACACACACACACACACACACACACACACACACACACACACACACACACACACACACACACACACACACACACACACACACACACACACACACACACACACACACACACACACACACACACACACACACACACACACACACACACACACACACACACACACACACACACACACACACACACACACACACACACACACACACACACACACACACACACACACACACACACACACACACACACACACACACACACACACACACACACACACACACACACACACACACACACACACACACACACACACACACACACACACACACACACACACACACACACACACACACACACACACACACACACACACACACACACACACACACACACACACACACACACACACACACACACACACACACACACACACACACACACACACACACACACACACACACACACACACACACACACACACACACACACACACACACACACACACACACACACACACACACACACACACACACACACACACACACACACACACACACACACACACACACACACACACACACACACACACACACACACACACACACACACACACACACACACACACACACACACACACACACACACACACACACACACACACACACACACACACACACACACACACACACACACACACACACACACACACACACACACACACACACACACACACACACACACACACACACACACACACACACACACACACACACACACACACACACACACACACACACACACACACACACACACACACACACACACACACACACACACACACACACACACACACACACACACACACACACACACACACACACACACACACACACACACACACACACACACACACACACACACACACACACACACACACACACACACACACACACACACACACACACACACACACACACACACACACACACACACACACACACACACACACACACACACACACACACACACACACACACACACACACACACACACACACACACACACACACACACACACACACACACACACACACACACACACACACACACACACACACACACACACACACACACACACACACACACACACACACACACACACACACACACACACACACACACACACACACACACACACACACACACACACACACACACACACACACACACACACACACACACACACACACACACACACACACACACACACACACACACACACACACACACACACACACACACACACACACACACACACACACACACACACACACACACACACACACACACACACACACACACACACACACACACACACACACACACACACACACACACACACACACACACACACACACACACACACACACACACACACACACACACACACACACACACACACACACACACACACACACACACACACACACACACACACACACACACACACACACACACACACACACACACACACACACACACACACACACACACACACACACACACACACACACACACACACACACACACACACACACACACACACACACACACACACACACACACACACACACACACACACACACACACACACACACACACACACACACACACACACACACACACACACACACACACACACACACACACAGGCTACGCTGCACACTTGAGCCTAGCGCCGTCTTACTCATGAAGTAAAAAAATAAATTAAAAAATCAGATTTCTCTGGCAAGAGCTGTGCCTCCCAATTATACTACACTGGCTAACTTCAATTTTGATCTTGCACGCCAAAGAGCATAGAGTAAACTCAACTATTCTTTTTCTCATCTCAAAGACAGGTTTTCTCGTCTTTACTCTCGTTATTCTGCTATACCATGGCTGGTTATAATCGCCCACATTGTACTTTCATCGGTCGAAGTAACATGATTATGCGTAATAAAACAAAATTCCGGTAAATTCGTATTCCGGGCCAAAAACAGTTCAATGTTCTTGTTGGTCAGTATCCGAGCATGGCCGTATTTCGGACTCCCATTCTTCCGACTCTTGCACTTATCGCTGTCCAGTGTTCAACTCCCGCTCTCCGGTATTCAACTGCTGCTGTTGAGCGCCCTCCTGTTGGACGTCCCGCTCTCTCATGTGATCACGAGGTTGGGCGTCCCGCTCCCTCTGTCGGGCGTCCCGCTCCCTCCTTCGGGGGTCCCGCTCCCTCTGTTGAACGTCCTGCTTCCTCATATGATCGCGAGGTTGGGTGTCCCGCTCCCTCTGTCGGGCGTGCCGCTTCCTCTTTCGGGCATTCCGCTCCCTCTGTCGGGCGTCCCGCTCCCTCTGTTGGACGTCCTGCTCACTCTGTTGCGCGTTCAGCTCCCACTGTCGGGCGCACCGGTCCCGCACTATCCTGTACAACTCCAACTGTCGGGTGTTCGACTCCGGATTTTCTGCATGCTGTTCTTGAGTATCAGACTGTGGCTGTTCTTTGGCGTTGCGTTCGTTGAACTGCTTTCGGTATAGCTTCACTCGGGCATGCCAGTGTCTGGAGGGCCTCTCTGGGGCATGAGACACTCGGTAGAGCCACTCTTTGGCGAGCCACTTTTGGGCGAGCCGCTCTTGTGCGAGCCGCTCTTGTGCGAGCCGCTCTTGGGCGAGCCGCTCTTCTGCGAGCCACTCTTCATTTCCGAGGCACTCATAGTCATTGATAAGCTGCAGTACTAGGGCCTGCTGCTGTATGAGTCGATGTTGCTCGCGCCGCTCTTGGGGCACTTCTTCAAACGGCAATTTGGCAAGCCGTTCTAGAGCGAGCAGGTTTTGGGCATGCCGCTTTCTGGAGCGCCGCCCTTTGGCCAACTGCTCTGGGGCGAGCAGATTTCGTTCGAGCTTCTGTAGCCGCACTTCCTCAAAACGCTCTTGGAAATCAAAGGGTACCCTATGCGTGGATTGGGGGGCTTTCTCTTGTTTGTGTCTGTCTTGGGTGTTAGACTCCAGGTATGGCCCTTTTTCCGCGACAGGAACTATGGCATCCTTGTCTTGCGTATCCCGCTCTTGGACATGCCGCTCTTGGGTGTTCAGCCATTGGGCGCACTGCTCTTGAATGTGATGCTCTTTGTCGTGCTGGTCTTTCGGAGCCAAGCATGGCTGCTTTTCGGCTTTGGTTTCCCGCTTTTCGGCGCTCTGATCTTGGTCGTCCTGCTCCTCGGCGTCCACGTTTTGGGAATCCCGCTCTTTTGGGTCCTGCTCTTCAACATCCCGCTCTTCCGCATCCCGTTCTTCGATACACGACATCTCTTTACAGAATCAAACAGTTATCCGTAAGGAAAAATGTCTCTGAAAGAGTTTATGACTAGGTAATTAATTTTCAGTAGACAGTGTTCTTACAATGTGAAACCTTTGAACTAATAAAGCAGTTTGATTCATTGTAATGTGGGATGGGTAGCGCGAGTGACACTGTAAGCGCCGAGCGAAACGGCATAAATGTGCTCACCCGGGTGTGGCGTTGCACCGGGGGGTAGATGGGGGGACCGCAAAACATTTAGAGCTCAAGTTTAAGGTCTTGAGATTTGGCAGCCAACACTTGGTGTCAAGGCGATATTTTGACATAAGCTACGACCTCTTGTTCACAGATGTTGCCTTGTCAACGTTAACCGTTGCTAATGTTTGAGTTACTCTGCTAGTCACAGATCTCACGTGTTAGTGACACTGGAGGAATGTCGCGCCCTGCTGAGGACTGCCCAGTGAATAGTGTCAAGAATTTTAAAATCTCCCAGCGCTTCTGGATATGGTTGATAAATATGGTGGTAAAGACACACCTGGCAATATGGCGGTAAACACAGGCCTGCCCACACACGCTCTCTAGGCTGCAAAGTTCTGGCACAGAGCTCTCCTTCTCATATTAATCAACCATAAGTACAGCTGCAGTGGTGTCTTCAATTTCATTCTCCCGAGTCAAGCTCCGTATGAAGACATCCAAGAAGAAGATTGCCTGATGAGTCCAGCGGGCACGAAACGTACGTCGCAATCGAGCTATGTCGTTGCTGTGTCATCATCTATGTGCCATGCGCTACTTGATGTACCAGCCTGCTATGCCGGATACCGCCAGCCATGCATCGACCAGGCGCCAGGCGCGAACTGATGGTGGTGGTGGTGAGAAGGAGAGCTCTGTGCCAGAACTTTGCAGCCTAGAGAGCGTGTGTGGGCAGGCGTGTGTTTACCGCCACATTGCCAGGTGTGTCTATACCACCATATTTATCAACCATAAGTACAGCTGCAGTGGTGTCTTCAATTTCATTCTCCGGAGTCAAGCTCCGTATGAAGACATCCAAGAAGAAGATTGCCTGATGAGTCCAGCGGGGACGAAACGTACGTCGCAATCGAGCTATGTCGTTGCTGTGTCATCATCTATGTGCCATGCGCTACTTGATGTACCAGCCTGCTATGCCGGATACCGCCAGCCATGCATCGACCAGGCGCCAGGCGCGAACTGATGGTGGTGGTGGTGAGAAGGAGAGCTCTGTGCCAGAACTTTGCAGCCTAGAGAGCCAGTGTGGGCAGGCGTGTGTTTACCGTCATATTGCGAGGTGTGTCTTTACCACCATATTTATCAACCATAAGTACAGCTGCAGTGGTGTCTTCAATTTCATGCTTCTGGATATGATGGGATAAATTCTTGGTTATATTCCGGGTTAGGGGGAAACAAATCGGCACACGAAGGACAGAAGCCAAAATTCTACTAGGCTTTGCGCACCCTACCAGTTCAAGTCGAATGCAATGGTGATAAATACGGCAGCGAGTAAGTCATTATAACCGGAACTTGGGCGATCAGAGTAGTCAAATACCAGCACTAGTGGCGAAAACTACTAATCAACTAAGGAGTCACGTCTCGGCCGGTAATGATGGTTTTAGTGCTAGAGGTGTCCTGCTGAATTTCGTGATTTCTAGCTAGGTATTTTTGCTACTTGAATATTCGTCTGGTATGCCATAAAACGTGGACCAAACTGACCGATTTCTGTCAATTCTCATTCCGTGCAAATGAACGGTATAATGGTATGGATGGTCAGTTTCGGGATCAGAATCTGAGCTTGCCCTTTCTACCTCCTCCTGCATTCCGGCATCTCGCTCTTGGGCGTCCAGCTTTTGGGCGTCCAACTCTTGAATGTGATGCACTTTACTCTGCTCCTCTTGAGAATCATGGCATAGCCATAACAGGTCGGCTTTGGAGACCTGCCCCTGGCCCGCTCCAGCTGTGGAATTTTCCATCTCTGCTCTTGGTGTTCCTTCTCTCGCTCTTGGATATCCCGCTGTAGGATATCCCACTTCCGTTGTTGGACCTCCTGCTCCCGCTGTTGAATATTTATTTATTTCACCTTCCCGTGGCGAGAGCATATAGGCCAACATGGAGGGAAGGGGGCGGTAGCCAGCCATGGTAGTAAACAAAAACAAAGTAAAATAAATAAATATTACACATTACTGGAGGCAAAGAGAAACAAATCTGGATGAAGAATTAGCAGTTATTGGAACACGAGCTTCATGTTGGCCTTGAAATCCTTTAGCGTACAAGACGATTTTACTGATAGAGGCAGGGCCAGCCAGAGAGAATAGGCAGCGAAAAACGGAGATCTGGTATAGGCTAATGTTCGGGCTTAAGGTAAAGTGCAGGGATTGCGCGTAGGACTAGTGGGAAGAAACCAGTTATATTTACGCAAGTGTGGTGGAGCTTTGTCAAGACGAATAGAATGAACAACAATACACAGTTTTCGATCCACTTGACTAAAGATAGGGAAGGTGTTAAACATATCATACAGCTCGGCAGAAGGAAAGTATGGTGGTTTGCGGAAAAGGACTTTGAGTATCCTCTTATTGTGGACTACCAGGGTAATCATTAACGATTCACTTAGTAGGGATGACCAGGCGGTCGAGCAATAGAGAAAAATGGGGAGAATATAGCAATGATGAAAAAGGGGAATGCATTCAAGCGGTAGGTGGGAGCAGTGAGACACGAGGTAGCCAACAGCTTTATTGACTTTGCTACAGATATAGTTGACATGTCTACTAAACGATAAGTCTGAGTCAATGACCAAACCAAGATGCTTGTGTTGTTTTACCACTATGAGGTCTGTGAGGGATCCGGGAAGAGTGAATCCATAGGTTGGCTCTGAGTTCGGCAGGAATAATAGCTCAGTCTTGGCGATATTAGGGGTTAGTCTCCAGGTAGTCATCCACTGAGGGACTTCGTTGATACCGCGCTGGAGACTGTCTCGCAGCCTGTCTAGACACTCATTGAACCGTAGCAGTGCAGTATAGTCAGCAAATAAGGACAGACCTTCAATATGACTGGGAAAATCATAAATATACACTAGGAAAAGGAGGGGCCCTAGGATGGATCCCTGGGGCACTCCGGATAGAACAGATGAAGCATCTGAGAGAAGGCCACATACAAAGACAACTTGCTTTCTGTAGGAAAGGTAGTCTGTATTCCACTCCAGCGCTGAGCCACACACACACCGAAAACTTTAGAAAGTTTAGCAAGTAATGCACAGTGCCACGCGGTTTCGAAAACTTCCTCGAGGTCGAAAAAGCACATGGCAACCTTCCGCCCCATATGACGATGGTCGACAATGTTTTGGATCAGCTTGGTGAGCTGTAGAGCGGTCGAGTCACCACGACGAAACCCAGATTGCGCGGGATCCAGAGCAGGAGAAATATGATTATATAATTGATTGAAGAAGAGCCGTTCGCAAAGTTTGGAAATACAGGACAGGAGGGAAATTGGACGATAGTTACTAGCGTGAGATTTGCTGCCTTTGCACTTGTAAATAGGCACAATTTTAGCCAGTTTCCAGTCAGTATCGAACTTGCTTGGGGTAAAGGAGAGGTTAAATAGGCGGCTAAGTGGAAACGAAATCGCAGGAGCTAGCTTCTTTATCATATTGTTCGTGATACCGTCTAGCCCTGGCGCTTTCCCATATTTCAGGTTTGAGATTGCTTTACGAACATCTGCTGTAGTGATATGAACGCGGGTGAATTGGCGAGTAAGACGAGTGTCATATTGGAGAGGGGGTATTACTAAACATGGGTCATCCGGCACCGCGACAGAGGTAAACTGCTTGTTGAGTATGGTTTCTTTTTGGAAGCTTTCAGACACCAGCTGCCCATCTGGGCTTGCAATGTCAGGGATGCCAGGTTTTACTTTGTGCGATCGCTGACTGCGTGTCATGCAGGGTCACACACGCAACGGGAAGACTTCGTGGTAGTAAAATAGATATTTCGCAAACAAAAAACGACAACTCTTTCTCTTCTTTTCGAAGAACCGAACTTGCCGAGCCTCGTCGAAAACAAACTCTGAAAAGACCCAACACTGTACTAGGACGGGATTCAGCGTAGATCAAAAAATAATTATGAGTCATGATACAAAGAGTTGGTGGACAAGCCGTTGATTATTCACTCTCATTGTAATATCAAAAAGTATTCTTTCTAGACCAAAGAGTGGTATATTTGATAACATTTAATAACGATAGAAATTTTTTTTAATGATACTTCTCCAGACGTTTCGTTGTTCTGAACAACATCGTCAGTGGATAAAGAATGGAGGGCTTTGGGTGGTGGCACGGGTTAATAGGGAGTGATGGTGGTGAGATGAGGTGAGGTGAGAAGGTGAAGGTGGGAAATACATGTATCTAAGTTAATGGTGAAGGTTAGGTGCGGGTCGATACAGGTGGGAAGGGGTACACCCTTCGGGTAGAAGTGTAGGTTGGTAGAAGGTGTTGGTGTCAACACCTTCTACCAACCTACACTTCTACCCGAAGGGTGTACCCCTTCCCACCTGTATCGACCCGCACCTAACCTTCACCATTAACTTAGATACATGTATTTCCCACCTTCACCTTCTCACCTCACCTCATCTCACCACCATCACTCCCTATTAACCCGTGCCACCACCCAAAGCCCTCCATTCTTTATCCACTGACGATGTTGTTCAGAACAACGAAACGTCTGGAGAAGTATCATTAAAAAAAAAATTTCTATCGTTATTAAATGTTATCAAATATACCACTCTTTGGTCTAGAAAGAATACTTTTTGATAGTCATGATACAATGCATGCAGTGTAACCGTGAAAACTGGTGAATGACGAATGCAGCAGGTTGGCAGCACGTGACCCGTCGTACCGCAGTACGCGACGGCGTTGCGGCTTAGAAATGAAAGGAAGCACTGCGAGAAAAGACACACCGAAAATACATGTCTCTCTGTCAAAACTTAGAAGAAACCAACAAAGTGCGACCAAGAATCATTTTGAGAGTCAACGTCAATACTCTTGTGCAGTTGTGCGAATTCTTGTCGTGCACTGTGCAACGCAAGAAACAAACAACCCACGAACTAACTCTTGAACTAACTGTAGGCTAAATCACTACATGTAGGCGAAATTGCGTTCCAAAATAAACTGAACTTTCTGAGACATTTCATATTTCACATCCTGAGAGAAATATTGAATAAAATAGTAAATACATCATAAAAAAACACATGGCCACGACCGCCTTCCCAACACACCCCCCCCTCCTTGATACATCCGTATCAAAGAATGAGTAAAATGAGAAAAGAGATCGAACTGACTAAAGATGGCGATAAGTCCATCTTAAACGTGCGTACGGACTGTCAGCCTTTCGCAACCGGACATAGCCGTACAACTGACCTGGTTACCTGCTTGCCTCCGACCTGGAGCTTAGCGACACACACTCTGCCGTCAGTACCAGGGTAGACCTCCAACACCCGTCCAAGAGGCCACTTGCCACAGGGGTATCAACTGACACAACGAGGACGATGTCACCGACACTGAGATCCGGGTACTCTTTCCACCACTTGGAGCGACGATTCAGGGCTGGTATCCACTCTTGCATCCACCTTCGCCAGACATGGGATACAAGCATTTGGACGTGTTGCCAGCGGCGCCGAAGACACGGTGACTCGACGGCAAGATGATAGTGCTCAATGCGTCCAACCAGGAAGTGATTCGGTTTGAGTGGCAAGTCGTCGCGGCTGTCGCTAGAGGGAGAAACAATTGGACGAGAGTTGAGTAGCGCCTCTGCGCTGCAGAATGCAGGAAGATTGTAGGGCCGAGTATGCTCCCTTGGGGAACTCCTGCTGATATGGTATACAGCGATGAGGTTTTGCCACCCACCAAGCATTTAATGGACCGTCCACCTAGGTAGGAAGAGAACCAGGTATGCAGGGGGCCGCCAATGCCAAGATGGCGGACTTTGTGGAGGAGGCCAGCATGGGACACACGGTCGAGTGCTCCGGCAATATCCACGGCTAGAATACGTGCTGTACCGCCTCGGCCGACGGCTGTGATCCAGGCGTCGTGTAGAGCCTGTAGCGCATCTGAGGTCCCGAGGCGGCGACGAAACCCGACCTGGTGGGGTGTCAGAAGTTTGTAATGCTCAAGGCGATTCATTAGCTGGTAACGCTCTCCATCATCTTAGAGATTATACTCAGCAGTGAAACTGGACGATAATTCCTCAGGGCGGATCGTGCAGATCGCTTGTGGATTGGAACCACGCTGGCAGTCTTCCACATTTGTGACTGGACTCCATGCTGGAAGCAAAGAGCAAAGAACTGACAATGTGGCTTGACAAGTTCTCTGGCGCATTCCTTCAAGACACGAGCGGAAATACCGTCGGGTCCAGTTGCCTTTGAGGCATCCAGGCGAGCTAAAAGCCAGTGGACTGCATCGGGGCGAAAGTGGACTGTCGTTAGTGCAGAGGCGCCAGCGAATGCCGTGCCCGGTAAGTGCATCGTGGTAAGGTCGCGGCCTTGCACACTGCACTTGTGGGAAAAAACGTACGAAAGCCTCCGATTTCTCATAGCTTGTGGCCCTCTCGCAACCTTCACTATCAATGAGTAGGGGAATGTCAGTGTTCCGACCCTCGCCACAAGCGCACTTTAGCTTCGTCCACCATCCTTTTCCTTCAGGGACCCATTCGAAAAGCTATGCCTGAGGCTGTTCTCTTTGGAAACTCAAGATCTAGTGGGGACTGCGATAGCATTGTTTACAGAACGGGTAAAATGCAGTGCAAAATCGTGAGGGCGAATCCTCCAAGTGCGCCAGCGTTTGCCCCTCTCCTTCATTGCGGCTGCACATTCAGGTGTCCACCATTTCGGATCCGTTGACTTCACTGTCAGTGTCTTGGACGGAACGAACTGGGAAACGGCTTTCATGATTGTGGCAGTAACGTGCTCACGCGAAGTTTCTGGGTTGGCAGTAATGACGGTTGACCAATCAACCTGGCGGAAAATGGATCGTAGGCAGTTCCAGTCTGACTTTTCATAGCGCCAGATAGTTCGTTGCACCGCTGGTTCAAGGATAGGAAGAATACCTTTGAAGTCCGAAAGAATTACAGCGTGGTCGGATCGACGAATAGGGGACATTATGTGCGTGGTCACTGGAGAGTTGAACGGGGACATCACCAGGTCGAGTGTGCTATCCCCGCGAGTGGGACAGTAAACTTGCTGCGTAAGAAAGTAGGCTGTGCATGTGTCTTCGAGGGCTTCCCCCGCAGGTGTGGTCTTCGAGCTATGGAGCCAATTGCGTTAATGCACGTTAAAATCCCCGGCGAGTATGAGGTTGGCACCAAGTGCACGAGCAGAGGGAAGGATATCATCAAGATGGTTAATGAGCGTAAGATCACAGGCCCCGTCGAACCTGGCCTATAAGCAGTGCCCAAGACCATCTTTTGTCCATGAATCTCCCACTCCTGCTGTTGTGCGTGCACTGATCCCTATTTTGAACGTAGTGATTCCACGCTTGGATGTACCGATATTGCGCCACCTAGCATAGCGAATTCTGGTCTTGAACATCCGCTCGCTCCTGGACATGTGGGCGGCAGGTATGTCGGACTCGGGCGCGTCGCATTCTGTAGGACTACTCTGAGGCATAGTTTGGCCGCTCTTGGTATGGTCGTACTCGGGGAAGTAGGTTTCGGACGCGTTGTCGGACCTCCCGATATCGGTCCTCCCGTTCTCGGGCCTCCGGCTTTCGGGCCTCCCTTTCTCGGGCCTCCCGTTCGCTGCGCTACCGTTCTCGGGCCTCATGTTCTCCGCGCTCCCGTTCTCTGTGCTCCCGTTCTTGGGCCTCCCGTTCTCTGCGCTTCCGTTCTCGTCCTCCCGTTCTCGTTAAGCTCGTTTTGAGCAAACCGCTCTTGAAAGTTCAGCTCTGTGAAGGGCTGCTCTGTGGCTAGTCGATCTGACAGCCCCTATTGGGCATGAGTTTCTTGTGAATCACATTCATAATGGTTGTGATGTGAAAACCCCAACTAAGAACCACCTGCCAGTAAAGACCGCTTTCTCTGGCCCAAAAGGGGGGGGGGGGGAGGTCGTTAGTTACATGTTTTACTGTAAATGTTTTGTGGAACTTGCCAGCAACTATTCCAAAGAAATGTAGTAGTATACAGTGTTCATTGTTTTCATTTAAAACGGACGTCAATATATTGAACAGTTTCCTCCGAGACAAAAATGCGAAATTATTCATAAAAAGGACACACTTCTCGCTCATTATAATTATTAGGACTCTTAATAACAATATGAACTTAGAAGTTGCGACTTCGGCGGTATTAGTCATGAAATTGGTTGTTCCAACGATGAACCCACGCCTCTTGCTGAACATGACGCGTATGTTCCTCGTTGGAAGAACCAACTTCATGACCAATACTGCCCCAGTGGCAACTTTTAAGCTCGTGTTGTTATCCCTCACGCAGTCGTGCGACTAGATGTTGGAGGTGACAGCGTTATGAATAGATTTTGGCTCTCAACGTCTGTTTAGCATGAGCGACGGTGACTTGCGCTGTTACCTGGGACTTCACGAGGTGTTTGTTGCGCTGGAGACAAATGTTCTCTGTAAGTTTGTATCCCTAGTGATGGTTTGGCCTGGAGAGCAATATATAGCAAGTGGTGCTTTTTAGCACAATTTTCCTCAGCCTACTCAAGGTAAACTGAGGAGGATTAAATTCCCCGAAACAGGGTTCATTGAGGAGGGAGTGGTGATTTCTTGCAGGTTTGTCGAGTAGAAGGTACGACGTGCTTCTCGTGTGCTCCGAATGGCAGTCGTGAGGCAGTCAAGTGCGGTTAATGAAAAGTAGCAATTGCTCATGTCCGAGCATATTAGGAGTAAAGTCAAAACAAGGATCCACTCCCCCCCCCACACACATACGAGCAGATGCTGGCACATGCACGCACTCAGGCGAACGTGCATTTAATTTAACCTGGCGACTTATGGCAAATGAAGCAGAATGGAACTATACACAATAATTCAAGTGCATTGCATAGAGAGTCGGGTGACATGACGCAGAAAGTACATGGACCACGTACACACTGACAACAAAAAGAAACAATGGAGGGGTGTGATGGATATGTAAAAAAGGCCCGCAACATTGTTGGGGTTTCATATAATTATGAGTACATGGACATGACATATCACTCACGTCTGTATTCAGGTCAGTGACTATCATCTAAATTATGATTGTTGAACAGAACGGGTACAATTGTAGACGGACAAATTTGACTTCATGAATGAGCTGCGCGGTCCTTGTACCACACACACACACACACACACACACACACACACACACACACACACACACACACACACACACACACACACACACACACACACACACACACACACACACACACACACACACACACACACACACACACACACACACACACACACACACACACACACACACTACGCTGCACACTTGAGCCTAGGACTGTCTTACTCATGAAGTAAAAGAATAAAAAGTCAAATTTCTCTGGGCAGAGCTGTGCTTGCCAAATATTATACACTGACTAACTTGAATTTTGATCTTGCACGCCAAAGAACATGGAGTAAACAGACGTATTCTTATTCTCCTCTCCAACACAGGTTTTCTCGTCATTACTCTCGTTTATCTACTATACCATGGCTGGTTATAACAGCCCACATCATACTTTCATCGGTCAATGCAACATGATTGCGCGTAATAAAACAAAAATCCGGTAAATTCGTATACCGGGCCAAAAGTACAGTTCAATGTTCTTATCAGTCAGTATCCGAGCATGGCCGTGTTTCGGATTCCCACTCTTCCAACTCTTGCACGTCCCACATTTCAGTGTTCATTACCCGCTGTCCGGTGTTCAACTCCCGCTGTCCGGTGTTCAACTCCCGCTCTCCAGTGTTCAACTCCCGCTGTCCGGTGTTCAACTCCCGCTGTCCGGTATTCAACTCCCGCTGTTGAGCGTCATCCTGTTGAAGGTTCCGCTCTCTCATAATATTATCGCGAGGTTGGGCGTCCCGCTCTCTCTGTAGGGCGTCCCGCTCCCTCTTTCGGGGGTCCCGATCCCTCTGTTGGACGTCCTGCTCCCTCATAGGATCGCGAGGCTGGGCGTCCCTCTCCCTCTGTTGGGCGTCCAGCTCCCTCTTTCGGGCATTCCGCTCCCTCTGTCGGGCGTCCGGGTCCCTCTGTTGGACATCCTGTTCTATCTGTTGGGCGTACAGCTCCCGCTGTTGGCCGCACCATTCCTGGACTATCCTGTACAACTCCAACTGTCGGGTGTTCGTTTCCAGAATTTCTGCATGCTGTTCTTGAGTATCAGACTGTGGCTGTTCTTTGGCTTTGCATTCGTTGAGCTGCTTTCGGCATAGCTGCACTCGGGCATGCCAGTGTCTGGAGGACCTCTCTGGAGCATGAGACACTCGGTAGAGCCACTCATTGGCGAGACACTTTTGGGCGAGCCGCTCTTGTGGGAGCCGCTCTTGTGCGAGCCGTTCTTGGTCGAGCCGCTCTTTGATAACCCGCCGTTGGAGGAGCTCTAGGGAAATCCTATGTTTGAGTCGATATTGCTCGCGCCGCTCTTGGCGCGCTTCTTCACCCCGCAAGTTGGCAGGCCGCTCTAGAGCTAGCAGGTTTAGGGCAATCCGCCTTCTAGTGCGCTGCTCTTTGGCCAACTGCTCTTGGGCGAGCTGATTTCGTTCGAGCTGCTGTAGCCTCACTTCCTCAAACCGCTCTTGGAAATCACAGGATACCCTTTGCGTGGATTGGGGGGCTTTGTCTTGTTTGTGCCTGTCTTGGGTGTTAGACTCCAGGCATGGCCCTTTTTCGGCTACAGGAACTCTGGCATCCTTGCCCTGCGTATCCCACCCTGGGACATGCCGCTCTTGGGTGTTCAGCCCTTGGGCGCTATGCTCTTGGATGTGATGCTCTTTGTCGTGCTGGTCTTGCGGAGTCCAGCATGGCTGCTTTTCGGCTTCGGTTTCCCGCTTTTGGGCGTTCTGATCTTGGTCATCCTGCTCCTCCGCGTTCACGTTTTGGTAATCCCGCTCTTTGGCGTCCTGCTCTTCAACATCCCGCTCTTCCACATCCCGTTCTTCGATACACGACATCTCTTTACAGTATCACACAGTTATCCCTAAGGAAAAATTTCTTTACAGGAAATTACGACTAGGTAATTAATTTTCAGTAGGCAGTATTCTTACAATGTAAACCTTTGAACTAATAAAGCAGTTTGATTCATTGTAATGTGGGATGTGTAGCGCGAGTGACACTGTAAGCGCCGAGCGAAATGGCATAAATGGGCTCACCCGGGTGTGGCATTGCACCTGGGGGTAGATGGGGGGGGGGGGGGGGCCGCCAAACATTTAGAGCTCGAGTTTAAGGTCTTGAGATTAGGCAGACAACACTTGGTGTCAAGGCGATATTTTGACATCAGCTACGACGTCTTGTTCACAGGTGTTGCCTTGTCAACGTTGCTAATGTTTGAGTTACTCTGCTAGACACAGATCTCACGTGTTAGTGACACTGGAGGAATGTGGCGCCCTGCTGAGGACTGCCCAGTGAATAGTGTAAGGAATTTTAAAATCTCCCAGCGCTTCGGGATATGATGGGATAAATTCTTGGAAATATTTCGGGTTAGAGGGAAATAAATCGGCACACGAACGCCAGAAGCCAAAATTGGACTAGGCTTTGCGCACCCTACCAGTTCAAGTCGAATGCAACGGTGATAAACACTGCAGCAAATAAGTCATTATAACTGGCACTTGGGCGATCAGAGCAGTCAAATACCAGCATTACTGGCGCAAACTACTAATCAATAAAGGAGTCACGTCTTTGCCGGTAATGATGGTTTTTAGTGCTAGAGGTGTCCTGCTGAATTTCGTGATTTCTAACTAGGGATTTTTGCTACTTGAATATTCGTCTGACATGCCAAAGAACGTGGAGCAAACTAACCGATTTCTGTCAATTCTTATTCCGAACAAATGAACGGTATAATGGTATGGATAGTCAGTTTCGGGATCTGAATCCGAGCATGCCCTTTCTACCTCCTCCTGCATTCCGGCATCTCGCTCTTGGGCGTCCAGCTCTTGGGCGTCCAGCTCTTGGGCGTCCAACTCTTGAATGTGATGCACTTTACTCTGCTCCTCTTGAGAATCATGGCATAGCCGGTTTTCGGCTTTGGAAACCTGCTCCTGGCCCGCTCGAGCTGTTGAATTTTCCATCCCTGCTCTTGGATTTCCTTCTCTCGCTGTTGGATATCCCGCTGTAGGATATCCCACTTCCGTTGTAGGTCCTCCTGCTTCCGCTGTTGAATATCACACTCCCGCTATTGGAACTCATGCTCCCGCTGTTGGATCTTCTGCTCCCGCTGTTTGTTATCGCGATGAAGAAGGTATTTGGTTTAGATAGACTGACCCCAACTGCATTAGTTTTACAACGGTGTCATCTGTATTAGTTTGAGCAAAGAGTTAATTTGAAACTATACGTTTTGGTCTATCGCTGCTTGTCATCAATTGCTAGCCCCCTCCTTCAGTCACTGTTTCTCCTGCGTTCAGTTGGCCCGCACACAAATGCTCGTACTCGTGGCCAGGATACAGCTGCCTTAGTATTACCTATGGTTCATATTGGGTATGGACTGCGCTGAGTTTCTTTTCTGGCGGCAGGTCTGTGGAACACTCTTCCTCCAAACTGTCGTCAGGCACAATCTGCTGGTACTTTTGCTCACCTCACAAAGATTCACCTAGGGTTTCCTGTAACAAGGCCATGCCTGTTGGGACTCCCCTAGTCAAATATGAGCCGTCAGATGAGAAAACAGACCTTATCACAAAAAAGTCATATTTTTGTTTGTGGTACTATCTGATTGCCAGGAGCACCATGAATCGTATGCAGAAAACTAGAGTTGATTTGGACCAGGGAAAGTAAAGTTATAGCCTCGACAGTAGGAGATCATTGCAAATTGCACCTCAATTTTGGGTGCAATACCAACAATTGTTTCACCTACTTTGGATAATATTTTCTGTTTCCTTTGACCGATTTCCACAAACTTGGGCTTTCTGGAAAGCTCTGGCGACAAGCAACCCGTTGGGCCCAAATCCGATAGCAAATAAAGCACAGCTCCAGCGCAACAAGCTGCAGACATCGCTTCAGCGCTAGACTTGCGCCGTCACACGAAAATCGCTCGCCATTTCCATCTCCATTATCCCAGGACGCCCAATTTTTTTCGTGAAGATGCAGTGAGAGCTTCCAAGACGTCTGAGCCTGTTGCCGAGATCGTAGATCGCTTGAAAAGGGGGAAACCCCAGGTCTGGAGCGTTTGACTCGCGTGTAGAAATGCAAAGTGCCGTGACGTATCTTGCAGGCTTCGCATCTCGGGAACGCAGCATCGTGCCGCGATCGCGCTTGCTGCATTGGATTGCTTGGAGTTTTCTCTACGATTTACATACTTGGTTTGTCCCGAAAGACCGATATTTGACTGAAATACGACGGTTTGTAGCTTGGTTGTCCAGACGCACCAGCGGGTAAACTCGCCAACTTTCAAGTGCACTTTTCTGCACTGTACAGTTTTTGCGATAAGGTCTGTTTTCTCATCTGACGGCTCATATTAAATGGCCCAGAATCTGCGAAAACCAGGCTTAGGGTGAAATTTCACAAAATGACTTTCCATTCTCAGCTTCTACTGGGCATGGGAGGTCAGGAAACAAAATATTACAGATGTGGGTCGACTCATAGTGGTATTAAAAGTATCTCAAACACACCAGGGTATTATGTTAAAAAATTCATAAAAAAAACACAAAAATTGTTATCACAGGAAAGAAATGAAGAGAGGTCCACCAGACTGAAGGAAGAGACATGGATGATTTTTGTTTAGGTGACATGACAAGGTAGGCATGTGGGAGCAGGCTTGTTGTGGCCCCTTGGTGCTGCAGGCTGTAGTGGCCATGCACAGTTCTGTATGAATTTTGTTTGCTCCTCACTCAGCACATGCTGGGGCTGAATACATGTACTGGCATGCTCTGGCGCTACAAACCACAAGGAAACCCGACTCCAGTTGAAATGGCACCTTTTGAAGGGTGAATCTATTACAAGTTACTATAACTGTTCGGAAACAAGCAAGAACACAGCCTTTCAAACTGTTCCACTGTTCGTAGTAAGCGCATAGTGTGCTGGCTTGCTGCAGTATCTGCTTAGTGCTGACCAGCAAGTGCAATATCAGCATGCAGTACAATCCCTTTTTCTTTTTTTTTTTTTTTTTTTTTTTTGCTAGAGCCACGTAAACCCGTCATGTGTGAGCCATGAATAAGGGGAGTGGTGGCGTGGTCTGGGATGCTCTGCCGACCTTGGGTCTCGGCTTCATCACAACCAGGCGCGCCAATAGCAGAGAGAGAGAGAGAGAGAAACTTAGACAGAAAGAGAGAGAGAGAGAGAGAGAGAGAGAGGTATAGAGAAAGAGAGAGTGAGAGAGAGAGAGAGAGAAAGAGAGAGAGAGGGAGAGAGAGAGAGAAAGAGGGAGAGAGAGAGAGGAGAGGGAGAGGAGAGAGAGAGAGGAGAGAGAGAGGAGAGAGAGAGGAGAGAGAGAGAGATATAGAGAGAGAAAGAGCGGGGAGGGTTGGGGAGCAAGAGAACTAAATAAGAGAACTAAATAAAGTATTTAAAAAAATGAGAGAGAGAGACAGAGAGAGAAGAGAAGAGAGAGAGAGAGAGAGAGAGAGAGAGAGAGAGAAGAGAGAGAGAGAGAGTTGCAGCTAGCTGTCCAGCGAGGAAAGTCTCGAGTGGGGGCCTCTCGATCTGCTCGCTCATTCGCCTGGCATTCAGTAGCACTTCATCGCCAAGGACTTCAATTCAAAACAGTTTTCACACTGCGCCTCAAGCCTTTTTCCTCGTGAACTTGCTGCAAACGTATGAGCTCTGCTGCGCGTGTTCCCTTTGCATGAGGCCCAGAAACAGCTAGTATCACCGTACTTCGATTGGCTGGATCGATGTCATCCAGGTTCTCCTCGCTTTCGCCATCACGACTCTAACTGGAGACGATTTCTTCACCATTTTCCGCAAGCAGCAGCTAGCGCAGAAATTTCGCCATCCCTGAGTGTAGGAGATGGAATCCGTTCGATCAGCTCAAAAACTCTTCGTTGTGACTAGAGGAGTAGCAGGGAATATTCTACCGGAAGCCCTTTGACTTCCCTGACTGCTAAAACCCTTCCTGCCATGACTGCTACATCTTCAAACAAGCGAGATTCTCTTTGGTTCCACTTCACTACACTCGATCGTCCACGCGACACAGCCTTTTTACAAAACATCATTTTTCTCAAAAAAATGATTTTCACCCTAAGCCTGGTTTTCGCAGATTCTGGGCCAAATACTACTACATTCCGCTCCCACTGTTGGACTATCCGCTCCCGCTTTTGAATCTACCACTACCGCTGTTGTGTGTGCACTGATCCCTATTTTGAACGTACTGATTCCACGCTTGGAAGTCCCGATATTGCGCTTCCTAGCATAGCGAATTCTGGTCGTGATCATCCCCTCGCTCCTGAACATGTGGGCGACGGGTATGTCGCACTTGAGCGCGTCGCGCTCTGTAGAGCTGCTCTGTGGCATGTTTTGGCCGCTCTTGGTGGGGTCGTTCTCCGGAAAGTAGGCTTCGGACGCGTTGTCGGACCCCCCGATATCGGGCCTCCCGTTCTCGGGGTTCCGCCTTTCGGGTCTTCCGTTCTCGGACCTCCGGCTCTCGGGCCTCCCGTTTTCTGCGCTCCCGTTCTCGGGCATCCCATTCTCGGGGCTACAGTTCTCGGTAAGCTCGTTTTGAGCAAACCGCTCTTGGAAGTTCAGCTCTGTGAAGGGCTGCTCTCTGGCTAATCGATCTGACTGCCACGCTTGGGACTGAGTCTCTTGTGAATCAGAGGATGGTAATTCTTCGGCATACGGCTCTTGGGCTTGCCCAAAATGGGCGCCTTGCACTGGGGCGTTCTGGACTCGTTTGGCTCGCTCCTCGGCGTCCAGTTCTTGGAAACTCCGCACTTGGGCATCCCGCTCCTGGACATCTCGTTCTCCGATATGCGACATCTCTAGACAGTATCTTACCTTTAAGCGCACGGAAAAACAAAAACAGAACAACGTTTCACTACGCAGTAATATGGACAATGGTCCTGATATCTACAAACCCTGGTATATGGAATCCTGTACAGAGATTATGCGAATGATTTCAGGGTTAAGTCAGCTTATTTCGTCATGGGCGGATATGTGGTTTGTGCGGAGTATTGCTAGGTTCGTTACGCCGCTTCTTCGCCACAGCTACTCTACACATGATCCAATCGCCTAACCTCTATGGAAGTGAATGCAATTACAGTAAAACCTGTAACTAAAGACCACCGTGACTGGCGACCAGCCTGGTACTACAGACCGTTTCGCCAGGCATTGCTGGTCTTACATTCATAATGGATCACCTGCCAGATCACCTGCCAGTAAAGACCGCTTTCTCCGGCCCAAAAAGGGGGGCGTCGGTAGTCACATGTTTTACTGTAAATGTATTGTAGAACCTACCATCAAATATTCCAAACATAAGTAGTACAAAGTGTTCATAGCTTTAATTGAAAACGAACGTCAACATATTTAATTAATCGACGTGGAGACAACAATTTTATAATAGCAATAAAAAGAACAAATTCTGCAGTCATCGCCACACTACAACGAAGTCATGAAAGTTTACCAGAATTAATTTTCTTGTCACATTCATCAGTGGAAAGTCGTGACTGAAGAGTAACCATGCTGAACAATGATTAAATATACATTCAATGATGTGTTACGAGAACAAAATACAGTGCCAAAATAGAAAGAGGGAAGGTGAGACAATAGCAGTGAAGTGAGAGCTAAGTGCAACGGTGGGTGAAAAACTAATAATTATAACGCTAAAACTATGTAGTGAGACAAACAATCATGTTGTGCACCTACGAAAACAATTTTAACGCAACAACATGTTTCTTCTGCTTACAAAGATCAGGCTAATGCAAACGAATACAAACAGCCTCAAGTACTTTCAGCTGACTAGCATACCGTGCACGACAAAGAACAGAAAAACTAAAATCATCATACACCTGCAGACACTTAGGGTGAGACAACAAGTGAAGAAAAACGGCAGACTTCTTACGATCACAATCACCATCTGATTCCTCGTCTCCAACAACCGCAACCTCGTCCTCCGTTTCATCTCCCAACTCGTCCTCAGTGTCGTCCTCCGTGTCATTCTCCTCATCAACACTGATCGGTCCCAGGCTCGTTTGACGTTGTTTAACCTCTGTTCGTTGACTCCTCCTTTGATCTTGATGGCAACTTGTTACCATTGTTGTTGTTGTTGTTGTTGTTGTTGTTAAATCTTGTGTTCCCAGTGTCCTCGCCGGTGCTTGATCTTCAGTACTGTAATAATTCATTGAATAATTAGCCGTTGATCGTCTAGGTCTTTGAATGTTGATTGTGTTACTTTCTTTGTTGAATTCCGTTCCCTTCAGCCTTCTTTCTCGTTTTTCACAATCAGTGCTTGCCTCATCCATATATGCACGTGCCACCGACACCACAGACTCAGCCCCAGCACCGCCGATGATAGATGTAGGTGGCGGTTCTGGGGGAGGCAACGGCAAAGACGGCGATGAGGGCATTACCTCATCACAGCGTCCACTTTGGTCTTGAGCTGAATGTTGTTGTGGTGTGTTATCTTGTGTTGTTATGGTGCATTGTGTTGTGGTGACAATATGCCCATTACCCGACTCCAAGGCTCTCGATACGGGTAAACTTCTTTGGCTTTGCATTCGTTGAGCTGCTTTCGGTATAGCTGCACTCGGGCATGCCAGTGTCTGGAAGACCTCTCTGGAGCATGAGACACTCGGTAGAGCCACTCTTTGGCGAGTCACATTTGGGCGAGCCGCTCTTGTGCGAGCCGCTCTTGTGCGAGCCGGTCTTGGTCGAGCCGCTCTTTGATAAGCCGCCGTTGGAGGAGCTCTCGGGAAATCCTATGTTTGAGTCGATATTGCTCGCGCCACTCTTGGCGCGCTTCTTCACCCCGCAAGTTGGCAGGCTGCTCTAGAGCTAGCAGGTTTAGGGAATGCCGCTTTTTGGTTCGCCGCTCTTTGGCCAACTGCTCTTGGGCGAGCTGATTTCGTTCGAGCTGCTGTAGCCTCACTTCCTCGAACCGCTCTTGGAAATCACAGGATACCCTTTGCGTGGGTTGTTTGTGCCCGTCTTGGGTGTTATACTCCAGGCATGGCCCTTTTTTGGCCACAGGAACGCTGGCATCCTTGCCCTGCGTATCCCGCCCTTGAAAATGCCGCTCTTGGGTGTTCAGCTCTTGGGCGCTCTGCTCTTGGATGTGATGCTTTTTGTCGTGCTGGTCTTGCATGGCTGCTTTTCGGCTTTGGTTTCCCGCGTTTGGGCGTTCTGATCTTGGTCGTCCTGCTCCTCGGCGTTCACGTTTAGGTAATCCCGCCCTTTGGCGTCCTGCTCTTCAACACCCCGCTCTTCCACATTTCGTTCTTCGATACACGACATCTCTTTACAGTATCACACAGTTATACGTACGAAAAAATGTCTCTACAGGTGTTTAGGACTAGGTAATTTATGTTCAGTAGACAGTGTTCTTACAATGTAAACCTTGAACTAATAACGGAGTTTTGATTTATTGTAATGTGGGATGGGTAGCGCGAGTGACACTGTAGGCGCCGAGTGAAACGGCATAAATGGGCTCACCCGGGTGTGGCGTTGCACCTGGGGGTAGATGGGTGGACCGCCAAACATTTAGAGCTCGAGTTTAAGGTCTTGAGATTTGGCAGCCAACACTTGGTGTCAAGGTGATATTTCCACATCAGCTAGTACCTCTTGTTTACGGATAATGCCTAGCTGATGTTTGAGTTACTCTTATAGACACACATATCACATCTTGGTGACAATGGAGGAATGTGGCGCCCTGCTCAGGACTGCATTGTAAGGTTTGTAAATTCTCCTAGCGCTTCGGGATATGATGGGATAATTTCTTGGATATATTCCGGGTTAGAGGGAAGCAAATTGGCACACGAAGGACAGAAGCCAAAATTCGACTTGGCCTTGAGCACCCTTAGGCCTAACAGTTCAAGTCGAATGCAATGGTGAATGCAATGGTGATAAATATGGCAGAAAAGTAAGTCATTATAACCAGCACTGGGGCGATCTGAGCAGTGAAATACCAGCACTAGTGGCGAAAACTACGAACTCGAATTGCAGCCGTTTTGTACGCTTGCGTCCCCGTCTACGCCCGTCTACGGTATGAAAAGTTGGATCGATCCAACTCTTCCCGTCGCTTCCCGATCTGTACGGTAGCACAGTTGCGTTCCCGTTCCTGGTGTTCACATTGGACGCCGTCAGACAGTCCCGTCGCTTCCCGTCGATCCTTACGTCGCGTCCCGTCGCGCCCCATCGAATGTGAACTGGGCTTTACGCGTCCAATGTGAACACCAGGAACGGGAACGCAACCGTACTACCGTACAGATCGGGAAGCGACGGGAAGAGTTGGATCGATCCAACTTTTCATACCGTAGACGGGCGTAGACGGGGATGCAAGCGTACAAAACGGCTGCAATTCGAGTGTGAACAGGAGACGGCGTCGAGCGCCGACTACTCCCGATCCGTACTTGGATATTTTAAGCATTTCAAACACTGCGCTTCCCATGATAACTCACAGAATGGCTAGCACGACTTGAGTTGAATTTTAGCAACATAAGATCTCATGTCACTTATTGTATTTAGGGATAGTTCAGAAACCTGACAGACGAACTATTCTATCAGTTCCTGGGGCTATTATCTGAATGCCACAAATTTCAGGGCTAATTTTTTGATCTTCATGAAACACTGGTATTGTGAACTTGATTCCGCTTCTTTCAAGGAGAAATAATTGAAAAGAAGTCCCGAAAAACGAGAAATTAGGTCCGAAAGTCACCCCGTCACGGACCGTGTCTTATGACTCGCGCCGTTCGACGTTGAACGTCGCAACGACTGCTGCATGTCATGTCGTATGAATCGTACAGGATTTTACAGCTCACCTCAGCCCTCCCGACAAGCCCTTACGTCCCGTACTGTCGGCGTTGCGTCGAATGTGAACTAGGCTTGATCAACAAAGGAGTCACGTCTCTGCCGGTTATGATATTTTTAGTGCCAGAGGTGACCTGCTGAATTTCGTGATTTCTTACTACATATTTTAGCTACTTGGCTATTGCTCTTGCATGCCAAAGAATGTAGAGCAAACTAACCGATTTCTGTCAATCCTCATTCCGAGCTAATGCACGGTATAATGGTCTGGATAGTCAGATTCGGAATCAGAAACCTAGCATTCCTTTTCTAACTCCTCCTGCATTCCGGCATCTCGCTCTTGTGCGTCCAGCTCTAGAACGCACCTTACCCTGCTCCTCACGAGAATCATGGCATAGCCGGTTTTCGGCTTTGGAGACCTCCTCCTGTCCCGCTTCAACTGTTGAATTGTCCATCTCTGCTCTTGGATTTTCATCTCTCGCTGTTGGATATCCCGCTGTTGGAACTCATGCTCCCGCTATTGAATCTCCTGCTCTCGCTGTTTGACATTCCGCTCCCACTGTTGGACCACCCGCTCCCGCTTTTATATTTTATTTTTTTACTCTGTTCACATTCTCAGCTCGAAAATAATAAAGAAAGACAATGATACTGAGACTAGAACGAACGTCACAACTATTGAGCAGGGGCTGCACCGAGACGCAGCAGTGATGTTGGGGCATTGATGGCTCTGCCGATCTGAGGTCTCGGCATCACGGCCAAAACAAAAGATAGAACTGTACGAATCAGCAAAAAGAAAAGAAAGGAAGGGTTAACACCAGCGAGTGTGCGGGAGAAGCCGTCAGACTATTAACACAATTACAAGGGTTGTTACTGAGAGGAGCATCATCATGGCTGATCATGGCGAGTCGGTTGTCCTAGCCAGTTGTGGTGCATAGATAGGGATAGAGGAGAGCGACGAGACCATCATCATAGCGAGTCGACTGCCCAGAGCCAGTTTGTGCTTCGCAGATTGCGACAAACGTTAGTTTTGAATGCTTGCATTCCCTTGCTGTGGGGAGGCTGGGACAGAAGAGCGGCGGGGAGGGAGTTCCAGTCACTAATACTGCAGTGTGGGAACGAGCGCTTCAATGCCAGCGGGACAGATGCAAGCAGCTGGTGTTGGAGCTGGTGGTCATGACCAATGACACTACCATACTCACTGCGAGTTCTGGGGCTGGATGAGGGGAAATGGTGCGGTGGCAAAACAGAGAGCTGCTGCGGAGGGCCAGGCAGGTAATGCAGCTTGTATAGGCAGGCAAGCGGGGCAACAGAACGACGGATGGCCAGGCTAGGTAATAGTACACCTGGACTGATGATTCGCAAAGCACAGCGTTGGATATGATCCAGGCGTTGCAGGTAGCTGGGCGGAGCACCTATCCAGATGAGAGGGGCATACTGCATAACCGGTCAAACAAATGCCTTGTATACTGTGGTGCGGCCGGCTGGAAAAAAGGTGCTCTGTAAGTTTGTATCCCCAGTGATGGTTTGGCCTGGAGAGCAATATATAGCAAGTGGTGCTTTCAGGCACGATTTCCTCAGCCTACTCCAGCTAAACTGATGAGGGGTGAAATCCCCGTAACACGGTGGATTAAGGAGGAAGTGGTGCTTCCTTGCAGGTTTGTCGAGTAGAAGGTACGACGTGCTTCTCGTGTGCTCCAAATGGCAGACTTTATTCAGTCAAGTGCCTCAATGAAAAGTGACAATTACTCATGTCCGAGCATATTAGGAGTAAAATCACAACAAGGACCCCCTCCCCCGACCCACAAGAGCAGATGCTGACACATGCACGCACTCAGGCAAACGTGCATTTAATTTAACATGGCGACTTATGGGAGATGAAGCAGAATGGAACGACACACAATAATTCAAGTGCATTGCATAGAGAGTCAGGTGACATGACACAGAAAGTACATGGACCACGTACACACTGACAACAAAAAGAAACAATGGATGGGTGTGATGGATATGTAAAGAAGGCCCGCAACATTGTTGGGGTTTCATATAATTATGAGTACATGGACATGACATATGAGCCTGGATCAGCAAAAACCATCACATGTGCAAAATTTTCGAAAAATATTTTTGTGCTCCAAATTGATCCACAACCACTGATAACCAGTCTCAAGAAATTTGAGATCAATCACAGCACCGTAAGTGACCAAAAAATGCGGTACACCACATCCCTGTACAAATGTTGGAAGTGGCATTTCTGTGTAGGATGCAAGTATGAGCGTTGGTATGTGTCTGATCCTGTTAGGCATTGCCATCACTCAGCAGGCTAACAAGGAGGAATTTTATAGTCCTTGGGGGTGTACTCAGACACTGGCTCGTCCAAGTAAATCATTGGCTTCACTGACTATCGCGCAGCTAACGGCATATGGCCAAGTTCCAGGGGCTGATATTGCATCCACACCAGGCTCTGTACTGATGCTCTCCAAGCCCTTCACTTCCATGAAAACATATCTGCACACACGGAGTGCAATCACAGCAGCCGTGACTACTTAGCACACAGGCTCATGAGCATGAGGTACGTACTAGGTGCAGATACATTCAACGGTTACGTGACCCTACATGAACATATTTTTTTGAATTATTTTGGGAGCTGCTGCATGGACCAAATAAATGTTTCAAGTAACGTTGCTCAGTGTCCAAGCCAACGAAGCAGATCTTGTCTGGCGCTAGCTCTCGTTGCTCTTCCAGTCGTGAATCGAGACGCCTTTGCTCTGCATGGTCACTGTCGATATCCGACAAACTTACTAGTGAAGGAGTCGTTCACCGCTCAACAATATCCACTCGAGCCGTCGTCATTCTCATCAGCGCAGCTTTCTTCTACACGAAGTCTGCAGCCTCGCCGAGTCGCTTTGCGGCAGGAGAGAGTCGTCCTCTGGAGCTCCGCGGCTTTCACCTGACTCCCTTGATGAGCAATCGCCATCCCAGTCATCACCAAAAAATGTCGTGTCGTGATTGGCGTCAACGACGATCGATGTGCGTGCGATGCCCGCGCCCCGCGACCGTACCTATTCGCCAGCCAAGCTCAGGTACGTGGGGTTTCCCAGCCGTGTCTCCTCACTTGCCTAGGGCTCGCCTAGCTAGCTAGTCACTGACAAACAAACAAACACGGGCTTGTCAGGCGGAAAGAAAGACTAGTGACAAGAAAGACAGAAAGGTGGTGGGTAGTTGTTAGGTCCGCGACTTTTCTTTCGCTCGACTTCAACGTCACTTTTTGATCAACTTGATATCAAACACAAGTGATGGTTTTCGCTGATCCGGGCTCATATCACTCACGTCTGTATTCAGGTCAGTGACTATCATCTAAATTATGATTGTTGCACAGAACGGGTACAATTGTAGACGGACAAATTTGACTTCATGAATGAGCTGCGCGGTCCTTGTACCACACACACACACACACACACACACACACACACACACACACACACACACACACACACACACACACACACACACACACACACACACACACACACACACACACACACACACACACACACACACACACACACACACACACACACACACACACACACACACACACACACACACACACACACACACACACACACACACACACACACACACACACACACACACACACACACACACACACACACACACACACACACACACACACACACACACACACACACACACACACACACACACACACACACACACACACACACACACACACACACACACACACACACACACACACACACACACACACACACACACACACACTACGCTGCACACTTGAGCCTAGGACTGTCTTACTCATGAAGTAAAAGAATAAAAAGTCAAATTTCTCTGGCCACAGCTGTGCTTGCCAAATATTATACACTGACTAACTTGAATTTTTATCTTGCACGCCAAAGAACATGGAGTAAACTGACTTATACTTGTTCTCCTGTCCAACACAGGTTTTCTCGTCATTACTCTCGTTAATCTGCTATACCATGGCTGGTTACAACAGCCCACATCGTACTTTCATCGGTCAACGCAACATGATTGTGCGTAATAAAATAAAATTCCAGTAAATTCGTATACCGGGCCAAAAGTATAGTTCAATGTTCTTATTAATCAGTATCCGAGCATAGCGGTGTTTCGGACTCCCACTCTTCCGACCCTTGCACGTCCCACATTTCAGTGTACAACTCCCGCTGTCCGGTGTTCTACTCCCGCTGTCCCGTGTTCAACTCCCGCTCTGCAGTGTTCAACTGCCGCAGTCCGGTGTTCAACTCCCGCTGTCCGGTATTCAACTCCCGCTGTTGAGCGTCATCCTGTTGGAGATTCCGCTCCCTCATAATATTATCGCGAGGTTGGGCGTGCCGCCCTCTCTGTTTGGCGTCCCGCTCCCTCTTTCGGGGGTCCCACTCCCTCTGTTGGACGTCCTGCTCCATCATAGGATCGCGAGGTTGGGCGTCCCTCTCCCTCTGTTGGGCGTCCAGCTCCCTCTTTCGGGCATTCCGCTCTCTCTGTCGGGCGTCCTGCTCCCTCTGTTGGACGTCCTGTCGAGTTTTCGCCCCCAGAATTTCTGCATGCTGTTCTTGAGTATCAGACTGTGGCTGTTCTTTGGCTTTGCATTCGTTGAGCTGCTTTCGGTATAGCTGCACTCGGGCATGCCAGTGTCTGGAGGACCGCTCTGGAGCATGAGACACTCGGTAGAGACACTCTTTGGCGAGACACTTTTGGTAGAGCCGCTCTTTTGCGAGCTGCTCTTGTTCGAGCCGCTCTTGGGCGAGCCGCTCTTTGATAAGCCGCCGTTTGATTAGCTCTATGGAAATCCTATGTGTGAGTCGATATTTCCCACGCCGCTCTTGGCGCGTTTCTTCACCCCGCAAGTTGGCAGGCCGCTCTAGAGCTAGCAGGTTTAGGGCATGCCGCTTTTTGGTTCGCCGCTCTTTGGCCAACTGCTCTTGGGCGAGCTGATTTCGTTCGAGCTGCTGTAGCCTCACTTCCTCGAACCGCTCTTGGAAATCATAGCATACCCTTTGCGTGGATTGGGGGGCTTTCTCTTGTTTGTGCCCGTCTTGGGTGTTAGACTCCAGGTATGGCCCTTTTTCGGCCACATGAACGCTGGCATCCTTGCCCTGCGTATCCCGCCCTTGAAAATGCCGCTCTTGGGTGTTCAGTCCTTGGGCGCTCTGCTCTTGGATGTGATGCTCTTTGTCGTGCTGGTCTTGCGGAGCCAAGCATGGCAGCTTTTCGGCTTTGGTTTCCCGCTTTTCGGCGCTCTGATCTTGGTCGTCCTGCTCCTCGGCGTTCACGTTTTGGGAATCCCGCTCTTTTGAGTCCTGCTCTTCAACATCCCGCTCTTCCACATCCCGTTCTTCGATACTCGACATCTCTTTACAGTATCACACAGTTATCCGTAAGGAAAAATGTCTCTACAGGTGTTTATGACCAGGTAAATAATTTTCAGTAGACAATGTTCTTACAATGTAAACCTTTGAACTAATAAAGCAGTTTTGATTCATTGTAATGTGGGATGGGTAGCGCGAGTGACACTGTAAGCGCCGAGCGAAACGGCATAAATGGGCTCACCCGGGTGTGGCGTTGCACCTGGGGGTAGATGGGGGGACCGCAAAACATTTAGAGCTCGAGTTTAAGGTCTTGAGATTAGGCAGCCAAAACTTGGTGTCAAGGCGATATTTTGACATAAGCTACGACCTCTTGTTCACAGATGTTGCCTTGTCAACGTTAACGTTGCTAATGTTTGAGTTACTCTGCTAGTCACAGATCTCACGTGTTAGTGACACTGGAGGAATGTCGCGCCCTGCTGAGGACTGCCCAGTGAATAGTTTCAGGAATTTTAAAATCTCCCAGCGCTTCGGGATATGATGGGATAAATTCTTGGTTATATTCCGGGTTAGGGGGAAACAAATCGGCACACGAAGGACAGAAGCCAAAATTCGACTAGGCTTTGCGCACCCTACCAGTTCAAGTCGAATGCAATGGTGATAAATACCGCAGCGAGTAGGTCATTATAACCGGCACTTGGGCGATCAGAGCAGTCAAATACCAGCACTAGTGGCGAAAACTACTAATCAACAAAGGAGTCACGTCTCTGCCGGTAATGATGGTTTTTAGTGCTAGAGGTGTCCTGCTGAATTTCGTGATTTCTAGCTATGGATTTTTGCTACTTGAATATTCGTCTGGTATGCCAAAAACGTGGACCAAACTGACCGATTTCTGTCAATTCTCATTCCGTGCAATTGAACGGTATAATGGTATGGATGGTCAGTTTCGGGTTCAGAATCTGAGCATGCTCTTTCTACCTCCTCCTGCATTCCAGCATCTCGCTCTTGGTCGTCCAGCTCTTGGGCGTCCATCTCTTGAATGTGATGCACTTTACTCTGCTCCTCTTGAGAATCATGGCACAGCCATAACAGGTCGGCTTTGGAGACCTGCTCCTGGCCCGCTCCAGCTGTGGAATTTTCCATCTCTGCTCTTGGTGTTCCTTCTCTCGCTCTTGGATATCCCGCTGTAGGATATCCCACTTCCGTTGTTGGACCTCCTGCTCCCGCTGTTGAATATTTATTTATTTATTTCACCTTCCCGTGGCCAGAGAAAATAGGCCAATATGGAGGAAAGGGGGTCGTAGCCAGCCATGGCAGTAAACAAAAACAAAGTAAAAATAAATAAATATTACACATTACTGGAGGCAAAGAGAAACAAATCTGGATGAAGAATTAGCAGTTATTAGAACACGAGCTTCATGTTGGCTTTGAAATCCTTTAGCGTACAAGACGATTTTACTGATAGAGGCAGGGCCAGCCAGAGAGAATAGGCAGCGAAAAACGGAGATCTGGTATAAGCTGATGTTCGGGCTTGAGGTAAAGTGCAGGAATTGCGCGTAGGACTAGTGGGAAGAAACCAGTTATATTTACGCAAGTGCGGTGGTACTTTGTCAAGACGATTAGAATGAACAACAATACACAGTTTTCGATCCACTTGACTAGAGATAGGGAAGGTGTTAAACATATCATACAGCTCGGCAGAAGGAAAGTATGATGGTTTGCGGAAAAGGACTTTGAGTATCCTCTTATTGTGGACTTCCAGGGTACTCATTAACGATTTACTTAGTAGGGATGACCAGGCGGTTGAGCAAGAGAGAAAAATGGGGAGAATATAGCAATGATGAAAAAGGGGAATGCATTCAAGCGGTAGGTGGGAGCAGTGAGACACGAGGTAGCCAACAGCTTTACTGACTTTGCTACAGATATAGTTGACATGTCTACTAAACGATAAGTCTGAGTCAATGACCAAACCAAGATGTTTGTGTTGTTTTACCACTATGAGGTCTGTGAGGGATCCGGGAAGGGTGAATGCATAGGTTGGCTCTGAGTACGGCAGGAATAATATCTCAGTCTTGGCGATATTAGGTCTTAGTCTCCAGGTAGTCATCCACTGATGGACTTCGTTGATACCACGCTGGAGATTGTCTCGCAGCCTGTCTAGACACTCATTGAACTGGAGCAGTGCAGTATAGTCAGCAAATAAGGACACACCTTCAACATGACTGGGAAGATCATTAATATACACTAGGAAAAGGAGGGGCCCTAGGATGGATCCCTGGGGCACTCCGGATAGAACAGATCAAGCATCTGAGAGAAGTCCACATACAAAGACAACTTGCGTTCTGTCGGATAGGTAGTCTGTAATCCACTCCAGCGCTGAGCCAAACACACCGAAAACTTTGGAAAGTTTAGCAAGTAATGCACAGTGCCACGCGGTTTCGAAAACTTTCTCGAGGTCAAAAAAGCACATGGCAACTTTCCGCCCCATATGACGATGGTCGACAATGTTTTGGATCAGCTTGGTGAGCTGTAGAGCGGTCGAGTCACCACGACGAAACCCAGATTGCGCGGGATCCAGAGCAGGAGAAATATGATTATATAATTGATTGAAGAAGAGCCGTTCGCAAAGTTTGGAAATACAGGACAGGAGGGAAATTGGACGATAGTTACTAGCGTGAGATTTGCTGCCTTTTCACTTGTAAATAGGCACAATTTTAGCCAGTTTCCAGTCAGTATCGAACTTGCTTGTGGTAAAGGAGAGATTAAATAGGCCGCTAAGTAGAAAAGAAATCGCAGGAGCTAGCTTCTTTATCATATTGTTCGTGCACCGTCTAGCCCTGGCGCTTTCCCATATTGCAGGTTTGAGATTGCTTTACGAACAACTGCTGTAGTGATATGAACGCAGGTGAATTGGCGAGTAAGATGAGTGTCATATTGGAGAGGGGGTATTACTAAACATGGGTCATCAGGCACCGCGACAGAGGTAAACTGCTTGTTGAGTATGGTTTCTTTTTGGAAGCTTTCAGACACCAGCAGCCCATCTGGGCTTGCAATGTCAGGGATGCCAGGTTTTACTTTGTGCGATCGCTGACTGCGTGTCATGCAGGGTCACACACGCAACGGGAAGACTTCGTGGTAGTAAAATAGATATTTCGCAAACAACAAAAAGACAACTCTTTCTCTTCCTTTCGAAGAACCGAACTTGCCGAGCCTCGTCGAAAACAAACCCTGAAAAGACCCAACACTGTACTAGGACGGAATTCAGCGCAGAGCAAAAAATAATTATGAATCATGATACAATGCATGCAGTGTAGCGGTGAAAACTGGTGAATAAAGAATGCAGCAGGTTGGCAGCACGTGACCCGTCGTACCGCAGTACGCGACGGCGTCGCGGCTTAGAAATGAAAGGAAGCATTGCGAGAAAAGACAAAACGAAAATACATGTCCCTTTGTCAAAACTTAGAAGAAACAAACAAAATGCGACCAAGAATCATTTTGAGAGTCAACGTCAATACTCTTGTGCCGTTGTGCAAATTCTTGTCTTGCACTGTGCAACGCAAGAAACAAACAACCCACGAAATAACTCTTGAACTAACTGTAGGCTAAATCACTACATGTACGCGAAATTGCGTTCCAAAATAAACTGAACTTTCTGAGACATTTCATATTTCACATCCTGAAAGAAATATTGAATAAAATAGTAAATACATCGTGAAAAACACATGTACCGCGACGGCCTTCCCAACACTGCGGACAAACTGGTGAAGCGTAGTGCTGCCTGAGGTAAGTGTTGTTTTGATTGAACGAATGTACTGGTGGTGGCACCAGCGGGAGATATCTCACCTGGTTCCGCTGTGCCTTATAATTTATGCTGATAGGTTGTAGTCCGTAGGGAATTTCTTGGAGAGGCTAAATAGGTCACGCTTCAACTTGATAGCCTTGCGTAGTTCAGTGGAAACCCATGGATGATATTTGCCTGTAGACCCTGGGGTCGACGGAGTTCGATTTGGTTTGCGGGAGCTTTGAAGGGGAACATACTTGGACAGCACAGTCTGGAGGACACTGTGCAGGTTACTAAGTGCACTGTCCACGTCTGAGTTCCAAGGTACTGAGTCTAAGTCTGCAATGACCACCTCCCACACAGCAGGTGTGACGTGTCGGAGATCGAAAGACATAGGGTTAGGCTCCTGAGCTTGAGACGTTGTTTCGCGGGCAGTGGGATGTCGAACTGGCAGTACACAATGGCATGGTCTGAGGCGCCCAGAGGGCAGTCAGTTTCGACGCAAGACGAGAGATTGGTACGGTTACTAAACACCAAATCCAAGCAGGCTTGGACACCAGAGGGCGACGTGTATGTACATGTGTTGACGAGTTGGTGAAGACTTAATGGACTGAGCGTGCGATACAATTCAGCACCGGCAGTATTGGTGGAATCTGTCGAACACCATGACGTGTGCTTGCTGTTAAAATCACTTGTCAAGATAACGTGAGAAGATGAAAGAGGAAGAGTAATGAGTACATCTTCGAGAGTCTGCCAGTACCTTGCTATATCTGTTGGCTTAGCAGAAGGTGGACGATAACTGCAGCAGAGGAGGATCGGCTCAGCTGCAGCCGGATACGGCTGGAGTTGAACCCAAACGGCTTCGCACCCGTCGCGAACTAGATCGGGACGCATGGCAACAGACTTAAACTTATTCTGTCGAACAAGAATAGCGACACCATCATAACCTCTTGCACTTGTCCCGGACTTATTCTCTGCTGGGGGCCTGTCTGTCCGGAAGGTGTCATACCGCGTAATATTAAGTGCAATATTCGGGTCGAGCCAGGTTTCAGTTAGGCAGATTATGTCAGGCTGCCACTCTTCAGCAACAATAGTAAGCTCTGTACACTTATTCACTACAGAACGACAGTTTGTTGATAGGAGTGTGAGCTGGGGTGGTCTAGAATGCTGGTGAGTGGGAAGTGAGTGTCTGGTAGGAAAGAATGGGTGTGCGCGTGGGTTCAGTGCGGAAGGTGGGTTTGGATCCAATTGCATGGTCTAGTTACTAGCAGACTGATCCAAGGTTGTGCTGTCAGATGAAAATCTCCATTCCCTGATGGAAACTTTGCTTGGCCAGAAATCTTCTTCG